GTACAATAATTAAAGATGAATTACAAGCCAATGCGGTCCTGTTAACGAGGCTTCAATTCTATAAAAAAAATTAAGCAATCATATAATAATAAGTAGGTTGGTAATATTACTTGTTTGAGTTATTCAAAAAATATTTTTAGGAAACTTACCTTATACCTATATATCATTTTAATGTGCTATTTCTATTGCCTTATTGTTAAAATCATTAAAATTACAAATTGAATATTGTTATGATAATGACTAATGAGATGTATACTTGTATATTGTATAGGTATATAGGAACTTATAATTAATATTTGTGACTTGTAAGTGATTCGCGGATAGGTGTGTGCGTATACGTATATATCATACGTTTAACTTTTAACTTTTATGTATCTACTACAATTCTGTTGTAACGCAAAATCCAAGTCAAGGCTGTTTCATTGTTGTATCTATTGTTACCGATTATTATTAATTGTTGCAATAATTTTTCTGTGTTGCWGTATCGAATACAAAAAAAAATATAAATATATAATTAAAATACTTGATCACTAAACTTTACCACCGTTATTGTTACATATTTTTCTAGCCTGAATTTGCAGAAGCATGATAATACCGATAAAATTCGCTATAGTACCTACTCAACTGTAATATTGACGTTTTGAACGATCACCCTTCGTAGTGTCGCAGTGTCGCGTACATACAGACTTATACTTATGCAGCAACGATTGTTTTGGTATTTATATAATTGTGTGTGTGTGTGTGTGTGTGTGTGTGTGTGTGTGTGTGTTTGCGCGTGCGCGAAATCGACACGCGTGAGTACAACTGTTATATTATTGTGTACATACACACACACACACATATATATTCGCAGATGATAAAATCCGCGCGCTATGTCCGCCACCGCCACCGTCGAGCCATTATCATCATTACGACCCCTCGGCGAACGCGCGGTAACCATTATAACCACCATAACCATTACCAACCGGGTTACAATCATCATCATCATCATCATAAACATCATTGCCGCGCGTAGTCGACGAGAAAAAGCTTTTAATAGCTTTGATTGAGTGCCACCCTGAATGCAGCTCTCGTCCCTGCTGCTCGCCACCCCGCGAGATTGGTTTATTAATACTGAACACAAGCTGTTCGAATTTCCTGCAGGGGATGTTTTGCACGGCCGCACTTCATCTCCCCCCCCC